GGGTAGAGAAGAGGGACGGCGCAGGAGGGGAAGACCCTCTATGAGGTGGATTGATTCAGTGACTGGGGTAATCGGGATGGGTGTGTCAGAGGCAGTGAGATTGGCACAGGATAGAGCAGGGTTTAGGGCTGTTGTACATAGGGTCGCTATGAGTCACAACTGACTCGACGGAACATAACAACAACGACAACAACAATATATATCCTCAGAACCTCATTGCTGTCTAGCTGGAACTGACTTACAGCTAACTCTCTGGAGGGTTTCTGTGACAGTAGATCACGTGAGAGGAGGTTGTACATCTGTCTCCTGCAGAACCATTGGGGGATGCCAGCCATCAGAGAAGCACCATGTTTGAGTCAGCACTGCTCCTCCCTACAAATTCCACTGCAGGAATAATAATAGTTATTAAAAAGACAAAGACTACTTTTCGTACATTTAGTTATTTTATAGCAGAAGAGGATAGACAGTTATGAAAAATAAGTTATCTAGATGAGTTGGAATATAATAGAGACAAATCTGTCTTGGAGAAAGTCCAGCCAAGGTGTTCCTTAGAGACAATGATAGCAACGGTTCACCTCACATACTTTGGGCATGTTGTCAGGTGGTACCAGTCCTTGGAAAAAGGTACTATGCAGGGGAGGGTGGAGGGTCAGCAAATCAGAGGAAGATCCTCAGTGGGCTGGTTTGACATAGTGACTTCACCTGTGCCTTTGAGTGTGGCAGAGATCATGTTCACGGCACAGGATAGGACAAAGTTTCCATCTGTTGTTTGTAGGGCTGCAAAGAATTTATGTTTAACTCAGCAGTACCTAACAACAAATTGGAGTCATTACCTTTTTTACTTAAAAAAACAAAACAAAGCAAGGTGCTTGTCTCTTCTTTAAATAGAGTTAAAATACTAAATAAGTATTTAAAATGTTTTTTCTTTTCACATAAAAAAGAAAAATACATTTATACTTAAGAGTCGCTGACAATGTAACACACATACTTTTCTCTCTGTAGAACACATATTCATATTTTTGTAAAGAAAAAAATATCAAATCATTCAAATGAAGGTGTAAAAGACTCATTAAAGCTTTCTTTGAAAGCTAATTATTGATTTGTGTATTTTCTTTTTTTCTGTTTATGCTATTTTTCAAAATTTTTATAAAAGTTTAGAGACTTTGGATTTCCATTCATTCATTGTTGCACACTTTTCTCCCTGTCCAACCCTCCCCCGCAAGTTCGCTTTTTTCTTTGAAAAGTAAAAAAACAAAAATCTTTCATTGTTATACCATCCCCCCAGTCCACTCCACTATGCAGCTTTCATTCTGACCTCTTTTCATGACAATAATACATAATCATATATTCCTCCTAAACATTTCTCTCCCTTCTCTGTTTCAAAGCAGTATACATTATTTATCATTTCTTAGTTTCCCCCCAACTCTGATGTCAGCCATACTTTACAAAAGTGACATTATGCAGTGTTTGTCCTTTTGTGACTAAGATATTTCACTCAGCATAATGTGTTCCATGGTCACCGATTTGGTATATCATGAGTTCTTTGCTTTTCAGTGCTGCATACTATTCCATTGTGTGAATATACCACAGCTTCTCTATCCTTTTGTTTGCTGGGCACTTGGGCTGTTTCCAACTCTTTGCTATTATGAACAAAGCAGCAATAAACATGGGCATGTATATATCTGCTTTGGTGGCGGTTATGGTTTCTTCAGGTCAAATGGTATTTCTTGGGCTGTTTCCAACTCTTTGCTATTATGAACAAAGCAGCAATAAACATGGGCGTGTATATATCTGCTTTGGTGGCAGTTATGGTTTCTTCAGGTCAAATGGTATTTCTATTTCCAACTTTTTGAGAAAGTGGCATACTGCCTTCCATAATGTTTGTACCATTTTATATTCCCACCAACAGTGAATAAGGGTTTCAGTTTCTCCACAACCTTGCCAACATTTGTTGCTTGCTGCTCTGTTAAATCTTGTTGGGGTGAGATGATATCTCATAGTTGTTTTGATTTGCATCTCTCTTAGAGGTAGGGATTTTGAACATTTCTTCATCTGTTTGTTCACCATCTGAATGTTTTCTTTGGTGAAGTGTCTTTTAATATCATGTGCCAAATTGGGCTGTTTACTTTTATCCCTTATCTTGTTGTAGTATTTGAGTGTTTTATAAATTCTAGATTTAAGTCCCTTATCTGACATGTCATTTCCAAATATTTGTTCCCAGTCTGTGGCTTTCTTTTCTACCCTGTTGGAGAAGTGTTTGGATGTGCATAGGGATTTGATTCTTAGAAGGTCCCATTCATCTCTTTTATCTTCTCCTGGTTTTAGTTTTTTCAGGATGCTTGGAAGACTGTTTATGTTTTGGATTAGGGCTTCTAGAGTTCTTCTAAGCTTTTCTCTAATGAAGTTTATAGTCCTTGGTTTTAGTCCTAGGTCCATGATCCACTTTGAGTTGGTTTTTGTGTATGGAGTGAGGTGTGGATCTTGTTTGAGTTTTCTACAGATAGTTTGGTGGTGTTTTGTTTTTTTTTTATTTTGCCAGCACCATTTGTTTAAAAAGCTTTTATTTTCCCACTTAACTGATTTAATCTCCTTGTCAAAAATCAGTTGACCATAGGTAAATGGGCTGATTTCTGGATTCTCAATTCTATTCCATTGATCTTTGTGTATGTCATAGTACCAGTACCACGCTATGTTAACCACCATGGCAGTATAGTAGGATTTGAAATCAGGGAGTGAGATGCCTCCTACCTTGTTTCTCTTTTTAAGTAGTGTATTTTCTTTCTAAGTTATTACCCATAGAAAACATTTCAAGTGGAAAATTTGGTAAAGGGAGGGAAAATAGAGCACTTGTTTGTGGCCTTTCTCTTGTTGGCATCAACTTGCCTTTAATAAGTGTCTCAATCACCCCTTCCTAACTTTGCAGATGGTAAACAGCCACGTAGTTATATGGGGGCCTATGTTCGTTTGAAATATCAGCATGTCAGTGGTGGGCTTAGCCCGGCACAAATGATGAGAAGCATTTAGGGATCTTCAAAATTAGCTGAAGCATATTATATCTTATTAAGTATAAGAAGATTATGTTTGTAAAACATAACTTTATGAAAAATAATTAGTAGTAAATTAAATTGATATTAGACATGATAAGCAACATCTTTTAAACAAAATTTTAAAAACTCATGGTAAGGCTTCTGAGTCATAAGATACTTTTGGAAAGAAAAAGAAACAGTTGATTTTTTTTTAATTGGGTTGTTATGGTTGTTATGTGCCATCAAGTCGCTTACAATTTATAGCAACGCTGTGTACAACATCTTTGAATCCTGCTCTATCTTGAGCCCATTTATTGTCTCTGACACACCCACCTCCATTACCCCAGTCACTGAATCAGTCCATCTCATTGATGGTCTTCCTCTCTTGCGCTATCTCTCCACCCTTCCA